GATCTTTGCCTGTGCCGGGAGCGCTTTGACTCGTGGACCACCAAATCACAGATTCTGATTGAACCGTGAGGGGTTTAATGATTCTTCCTTCGTTTATCGAAGTAAAAATTTGAAGCGAATATCTTATCGATGTAAGATGTTCACTCTTCTAAAGATCAAGTCAGAGCTTAGATCTCTAGGAATCGCCAAAAGCTTCTTGAAGATGTTTGTGAAGGAGGAAGACTCTCTCTCTTGCTCTAATTCACCAAAAACTCCAGGCTCTCTGCTCCAATCTGCCCTGGAAATGCTCTCTGTCCTTTATTTCGTGTATAGGGAGGTATTTATAGGGGTCTCGATGCACCACAGTTGAAACGGGAGCAAAATAACTGACCGAGTGTTTCTTCTTTGGCCGCTGCAGTCTACACTGCCGCGGCTATTGGCGCGGCAGTATAAGCTGCCGCGGCCAAAGAGACGGGTATCAGCACGTTCCATCGTGCTTAAAAACGTTCTCCCACGACCTTTAACCACTTTTTTCGTGGTTTAACTGCTTGTCCACGTCAGCACACATTCTATTTCTGATATGCTGCCACGTAGGCCTTAAAAAATCATCATATAATTGCCTTGTAACCGCCACAGCACTCCTTTAACATAGCCGCGACACCCTAGGTTGCAGCGCCTAAGCCGCGACACAACAGGCTGGCGCGCCTTAGCCGCGGCACTATGTGCTGTCGCGCCTTAGCCGCGGCACTATGTGCTGTCGCGCCTTAGCCGCGACGCCATGGGCTGCCGCGCCACCTTGTGTTGCCTGATGACGTGTAAATTATTCTCCCATATTGTTTTGAGTGGTATTTGGATGCCTGCAAGCATTTTTCGACGCCTACATATAGTTTGCACAAAAGTGGACCATTTTAGATATATCCCATCGGCCAAATAGTAATCTGTAGCTATGGAAATGACCTGTCAAAATTTTAGATTGTTATTACCGTATTTTACTTATATAATATAATTCTGAATGTAGTTACTTTAAGACGGATTATATAGATCCCCACATATTTGTTTTATTAATAAATATTTTTATTTTATTATATTAAAATAAACTAATTAAAAAGAACTCTAAAAATATTCAATATTAATCCCATTTAAAAAATTTCTGTGATTATGTTCTAATTTTTGTACAAAAAATGTTAAGTTTTAAATATTTTAAAAACCATTAGTTTGTTAATGAAAGATTAATTAATATAAATATAGAGGTCACGAGCCCAACTTTTGAAAACCCTATATGTCTAAGAAATCTTAAAGAATATTCTCTTCAAACCCTTTAAATATAGAGTATACCATCGAAAATGCTCTTAGGCTCTGTTTGGTAAAACTAGCTGAAAGCTGCGAGATTATAGCTGAAAGCTGTTAAGCTAGCTGAAAGCTGTGAAATTGTAGCTGAAAGCTGTTAGCTGTGTAGCTAGCTGATTGACTAGAGCTGTTTGGCAAAAGTAGCTGTACAACTAGCTTAAGTTTGTTAAATGACTAAAAAAGACATGCAATATTATTGATATAAAATTAGAATTATTAGGGGCAAAAACGGAAGACAAAAATTGGCAGCTCCTTCCCAAAGACAAACGCTACTTGAGGTAGCTTTTCAAAAGCTACTTGCAAAAGACACAATCTCTAAAATAATTTCCTCCTATTTTTGGTTACCAAACAGCTCTACTAGCTTATTGACCAAATCAATAAGACACAAGCTCTTACAATCTGACGACTTTTAGAAGGCTACAATTTGAAGACTTTCACGTAGATCGTTGAAGGTTACAATCTGACGACCTTCACGACAACCGATGAGAGCTCTAGTTTAATCGCATTCACAATCAACATCGAGAGTTACAATCTGACGACTCTTGCATATCAAAGAGCTAAAGTAAAGATTACAAAATGACGATCTTTGCAACGTTCTGACAGAAAGCTGCCTGACGCAGCTCCAAGCGCTGCCCAACGCAGCTCTATATCGCTGCCAAACGCAGCTTTCATCCGCTGCAAACGCAGCTTCCAATCACTGCGTTCAAGCTTCCAGACACTGCGTTTGGACACAGAATTCATGCCGAAATGCAGGATCTGTGTTTGACTCGTTCAAACACGAGTTGAACGGTTTCAAAACCGTTTCCCACGATTTGAGGGGATCACAACTCCACTCAGGAGTGATTTAAGGGGCGGTTACATCTCATTAGCCCCACTTAGGAGCGAATTAAGGAGGTGGTTACACCCCTTAATCCCCTATAAATAACTAAAACTCACTTCAGTTCAGGGGTCAGTTGGAACTTCTTGGCAGCGAAAAGAGGATCCTTCATCCTTCGGTTGGAGCTTTGTAGATCGGCAACAAGATCTTCTTCATCCTTGGCTTATAACCGACTTTCGATTAAATTAACTCTTTCATAGAGTTTTAAACTCGTTCAGAGTTCTCCACAACGTCAAATCGTGAGGAGAAGACCACGTTCCAGTGAAACAAGACATCGGATCGTCAACGAGAAGCAAACTCGACGCGAGCATTCGAGGGAGGCATCTCATCGCCACCGTGAAGAACCCAGATTTAAACAAAGGGGAGAATCCAGATCATTCTCCTCTCTTTTGTAATCAGGAAATCTAATTATAACTGAGATTAAAGGAATACAAATCAATTTTCCTTCGTTTCTTTTACTGCAAATTTTTCCACAAACACTGCCATTTTAAGTCGTTTTGACTTATTGTAAAATAATTTTGCTGTGGCCAAAATTTACATTTTCATGAGCTATATCTCTCAAATTTTAGACATTTTTAGTCATTTCGACTCCTTGTCAAAATAATTTTGTAGTGGTCAAAATTTATGGCTTCAGGCGCTATAACCAGTGATATTTAGTCATTTTAAGTCATATTGACTATTGACAAATAGTTTTGCTGATGTCAAAATTTAGGATTTCATTAGGTATAACCTAATTTTTTTTTCCATTTTTAGTAATTGGACCTTACCAAATAATTTCACAGTGGCTAAAATTTATGATTTCATGAGCTGTAATTTATGATTTTTTTGGACCTTACCAAATAATTTCACAGTGGCTAAAATTTATGATTTCATGAGCTGTAATTTATGATTTTTTACCATTTTCAATCATTTTGACCTAGTATCAAATAATTTCTTTGATGGCAGGATTTTGTGAGCTATAATGCATGACTTTTGGGTATTTTGAGTGGTTTGAACTAGTTGTGAAATAATTTTGTTGTGGCTAATATTAGCTACTTCGTAAGTTATAATCAAAGACATTACGACGTGTGGTTAATAATTTTGCGGAGTGAAACTTCACGATTTAATGAGTTATAAAATACCCTGGTAAGTTATGTTGAGGATTATTAATGCGGTTTTTTTATAGAGTGCGCATGAGCACTCTATAAGAGAGGAGAGAGATAAAAAATGAATGAGAAAAGGATCCCAATGCAAATCAAGGGACACACATCCTCATTCATTTCTCTCTATCTCTCTCCTCTCTTATAGATTATCCATGAGCACTCTATAGAAAAACAGATATTAATGAATAGATAAGTTTGTCTGCTTCATTTCCAAGGCGAGGGAGCATGCCAAGCTCGTAATTATTGTCCATTGCAATTAAATACCATAAAGTTTATAACGAGCTCGGATTGGTAAAACATTTCACCACAACTATCCATATAAATCGTCCTCAGCTCCCGTTCAAACGACTCCTTACAACGTCTGTAATTGATTTTTATGTTGCTCCTTTTGGCTTTTGCCAAGGGACAAGATAACTACTTGGCAAATTGTTTTAAAAGATAAAATAAAATTAAAACAATCTACATTCAGTAAAATAAAAGAAAACAAACAATGACCCAAGCAAGCAAATTTATAAACAAATAGCCAACACCCACCAGATAACACACAAATAAACATATAAAAAAATGTTAAAATGTAGGCATCGATAAGACGCAATCTGCGGTGGTTATTGCGCAGCTTGCCCGGATGATGCCAGGACTCTCTTAATCAAAAATATTTTGGTTAATTTTTAAAAAAAGAAGAGCTCTTGATATTTGAGAAGTTCCTCTAAAAATGGACAAGGCATACACCATTTCCTTCTTCTCTACTTCTCAGTAAATACAACATCAACAAAAAAAACCCCAAAATTTTAATAAAATTCAGTTTTATTTAAATAAAATTATAATGTGAGAAGTTCGGTAAGCGGATTGCGTGGACAAACTAACAAGCCGACCAGTTTTAAATTCTCTTTTCTTGATGTTGCTACAGCCGGATACGGCAATTTCAAGATCAGGGCAACCCAGAATCGAAACCCTAATCTCGGTACAATATAGCCTTCAATCAAATAATCTAACCCGAAAAAAAACACCCAAGATAATGAAAAAGAGATCTGATCGCTAACTTAGTGCAGAGATGAAGAATGAGATTCGAAATACTTACCCTAGAAATTGGAGGCGGAGGAAGACTATAAACCCTAGCACAGAGTGGAGGCTCGGATTTATAGAACCTGGCCACATGGTCTGTTGAACCGCGGTGAAACTAGGATGAGTTAAGCTGTGTCCGGTTATGAAAGTGGGTCGGATCGGATAGCCACTCTTGGCATCCGCACCTGATATGACCCGTTTATATTGGGTTTATGTATAAAGGCTCCACTAGTATTCATCCCGTGCTAAGCACGGCATCTTTACCCATTATTTTTGTGCACAATCTTAAACATACTTGATATGAGCATTGAGAATATTTGATGTCTTATATGAAATCAATGGTAAATGCATTTTTTTTTGTTCATTTCTATAAGCTAGACTAAGATCAACAAAACACACAAATAGAGAACATTTATACAGTTAATATGAAATCATTTCAACTCCAAAATGTAAACGCCAATAATAGTTTGCAAAGTTGAGAGTGGAAAAATAAGAACCTGCAAAAATGGCAAAAAATTCACAAAACAGGATCATGATACTTCCCCTTTCTTTACTTCTACATCTCTCTAAATTAGAAAATTGTTCGTCTCTTCTTCACGTTTAATGAACATTCACTTCTTTCAAGATATAAATCTAAACAACAATAGTTCCCAAAATTATAAATCTTACAGCATATTTTTAAGTTCTACAAAATTAAACTGATGCTCTACTTAAAGAAAACCTTTGGGAGATGAGGCATAAAAATCTGCAGGCTTTCCCTTCAAATGATCTGACTTCCGACATGGAGTTCCTAGATCCATCTTCGCTTCATTGTTCTTCTTATAAGTTTTAGCATAGGAATAAGAAGAAATATTAGTCTCTTATGATAAACTTCATTTGGAAAAATAAAATTGATAAAGGTAAAAATACCATGTTCGCAGAGATTCGAGCATTTTGGATGCTTTCCTAATCAGAAATTGCATAATCAGAAATATCGCACCAAAAGGGAGGATTCAATAACAGAGGGAGGATCATTGACGTCTGCCGGCGGCGGCGGGGAGAAGAAGTATTAGTCTCTTATGAAAAACTTCATTTGGAAAAATAAATTTGAAGGTAAAATTACCCTGTTCGCAGAGATTCGTGCATTTCAGATGCTTTCATCATCAGAAATTGCAGAATCAGAAATATCGCACCAAAAGGGAGGATTAAAATCGGATGGAGGATCAGTGAGCAAAAGCAAAAGAAAACACAGATAATCAAGAAAGTTGAACTGCGGAAGTTGAATTTGATACTAACCTGAATAAGATTTATCTTGAACTATAATGTTGTTGAGGAAATTGATGAAGAAGCAAGTGTTTGAACTCCGTACTGACTTGTAAATATTTCTTCAACTTGTATAAACTGAATAGGAAAGCCGTGTATAAAATGCAAATTTGTGGAAGCAGATCAACTGAAATCTTCATGTGGAGAAGTTGAGTGATGTGGCCAAGAAGAGTGGCAAAGTGTATCAACGTGTCTGATGATGACCAACATGGCCAACTTGATTGTGGAAGTTTTGAGCATGGTAGATGGTTGTGGGGAATTGCTCAGCACAATAGATCAAATTTTGAATGTTGCAATTTTGAAAGAACCCAGTTCCACTCTTTCTTATAGTTATTCACTAATCACCATACATCTCAAAAATCTCTGATTGTAACTGCAAGCAGGATGAAGAAAATTCAAATAAAACAACAAAATAAAATAAAACACATAGAATCAAGAAGGATGAAGAAAATACCAGCAATAGCCAAAGAAAACACAGAGAATCAAGAAAGTTGAAATGCGGAAGCTGAAATTGATACTAACCTGAATAAGAATTTTATTGAACTATATTGCGGTTTAGGAAATTGATGAAGAAGCAAGTGTTTGAACTCCGTAATGACTTGTTGTAAAATTTTCTTCAACTATCTTTAGGCTTAATAGGAAAGCAGTTTATACACTGGGACATTGTGCAAGCAGATTAACTGAAATATTTTTGTGGAGAATTTGAGCGATGTGGCCAAGAAGAGTCGCAAAGTGTAGCAACGTGTCTGATGATGACCAACATGGCCAACTTGATTGTGGAAATTTCGAGCACAGTAGATGGTTGTGGGGAATTGCTCAGATCAATAGACAGTCTGTGCATGTGTCTTGAACTATGTACATGCATCCACACTATGCTGCAACTACAATTTAAATGTGAGGAAGTTGAGACAATAATAAAACGTGTCTTCTGATGAGCAACCTGTCCAATTCCTTTAGTAAAACTGTTACATTCGTTGATGCATGGCTAACCTGAATTTTGACTATCTTACCTATTCCATATGCATATAAAATTGATCAAATCTATTACATTACATTTAACAAAAGTATACATATTAAGTATCAATATACATCTTATAGTTTTGCGTAATTAAAACTACATAATATGATTAAACATAAGCAACATAAATATGCACACTAAACTTAGGTTGAAAACTCTTCAGAAGTTGTTGTGAAGTCTTCCACCTGTTAGTTCTCTTTTCCACCGCTTCGATTGGTTCTCCTTTTCTTATTTCCTACATTATGAATATTGAACTTGAATTATTAAATTAGATTTGAACATATTAGTAACTTTTGTTAAATAATTCTCATAATTTCAAATAGGAAGTCATATATTTTACCTTCTTGCATTGGCAATTTGAGTTGCTCAATATTACCAGACTTTTCTTCCACTTCAATGCTGTTATTTACAACCAAATTGTTGTTTACTGCCTTCTCAATCTTTGGTTTTATCATTACGTTAGTAGTATTTTTCAAAACAGATTTTGAAATAGGAGTAGTCAATGGAGTTGTTGGTGGTCCTTCTTCAGTAAGGCTAATAACGTCAGAATTTTGCTGGGCGAACACATCCTAATTAGAAATAATATTTAAACAATTAGAATTAATATGATAAATGAATTGTCTAACATTCTATGATTTAAGAATTTAAACCTGTGGTGTATTTTCGATGTAGCTTTCTTTATTTCTGTCGTGTAAGTCCTCTATCAGTTTCATAACTGTGAATCCTTCATTACCCTCAATGTAATTGTATTTAGTAAGCTTAATCTGAACTTTAATTTTCTTACCCACAATCCCCTTAATCAATGGTGGGAAAACTTCCTTTCCTTTAATCTGTTGATGTGAACATCAGTAGGCCATGAAATAAAACAATACAAACAGAAACTCATAGACTTCAAACAAAATTAGATGATAAAAATAATATAGAGGTTTATGTAATTACCTTCACCAAATTCTTAGCCATTTCATCAGCAGAAACCTTAAACAATTTCTCAGCTTCTCTGTTGAATAATGTTATTGTGGAAACGGCTGAATAATCTTCGACCTCTAGTGTTATCTTATAACTGCAAATAATACAAATACTCATTACATTTCATGATTATTTAACTATTACATAACTTTATATGCGAGTCAATATGATATCAAAATATTACCAGTTTTGTGCCATGACTTGTTTGTTACATTTCTCACACCAGAATGAATTACCAGCTATTAAAGATTTTTTTGAACAATCAGGGCAACCACTGTATCTCCATTTCATATGCTCAATAATACCAATGATAATAACTTCGCAAATGAAATAATATTCCTGTAATGATGGGAAAATAATCTCAGAAAAGTAATGTAAATCAGTGATGATACATACACATAGAAAGTATCTTATTATATAATGCAAATTTACATTCGAAGTCCCAGGGTCATTGAAGAAAAGTAAATCATTCAATGTGCCATTTGTTGCTTTTATAAGCTGTGGTTGATCTGCTGAGTAGTTGACCGGGGTAGGAATTATTTGCAACAATTCTTCACTGTCATTGAGATATCTAGATGATGATAAATTCACTTTAGAAATCCATATGAGCAATAATATATTAATGACAATTATTCATACCTACAATAATAATGCAATTGTACAACATTACATTTTATGTTTATAGTATAATCTCTTAACTACACCACATACCTCTGAGATAAATCCTTCACCTTTGGATCATCAAAGTTGATATATACTCTCGACGCGCTGCTAGAAGAAACTGTATTATTTCCTGCTAAATACACAAAAAGAAGTAATGTTATACGATAACCAACTATAGAGATGCATAAACAGATCTACAAACATTAACCAAGCTTCAAAATATCCTCTGTCTACTAAGCTTTAAGTCAATCAACCAGTCAAGCCCTTGTTCTAGAATTTTTTGTAGAGGCTTTCATTATCCACAGCATTCGATCATCTTATGGTTGGTCATTCATTCTTGAATATTGACTCAAGATAGACTACACAAAATGAGAATGTTGGGCACGAATACTTGTGTCGTATGCTCAAATAACATAGAGGAAACCTATCGGAATTGAAGAATATCGAATGTCAATATTCTGTCTAATCATGGTATAAAGTTATTGGAATCATATCATCAATTTTTATTGCAACAACTTAAAGGGGAAGAGTTATATGAAAAAATCGAAGAGAATGTAATTGTCAGTTATGGTCTATTTGATATGGCAAGAAAGGAACTTGAGAAATTTTCAGTTCAAAAATAGGGGCATTATAATATGTTTGCTGTGAAGATATCAATTTTCTCCAAGATTTATAATGATGATATCCCTGACCATATGAAGGAGAAGCTGGAAAAAATATATAATATGCTCTGTTCTTGATCTGTTGTTTCCAAACGTTGTGTTTGGATAGTTAGTTTCCAAGTTTCATTCTTGGACAGTTGATGTACTCAATTTTCAAAATTTGGTGATGAATAAAATATCTTTTCATTGAACAAAAAAAATAACCAAGCTGAACAAAATTTTATTTTAACTGGATATCAATGTTTTGTGCTCATTACCTCGAAAATTTGTTACAAATATTCCAGTGATTATCATAACCATATTATTTGGGTCATACTGTTGAGTTTGATCTTCTAAATCCAATGCAATTTTGTTCCATAATGTCACTGTACATTCCTCGCCCCTTTAAGAAAAGTAAAAAATCAGCCATGATATAAAATAAAATTAGAATCCATTATAATTTTAAATGTATAAAACACTTACAAATCATTAATTATTTTTAGCGATCTTCTAGTTTGTCTTTTCCCTCCAGTAGTAGAATCTTCCAATGGGTATATATCCTTCACAATTCCTACAACATCTATGAAATATGTCTATTATTAATACATGTAATATCAAGTTTATCAAACTTATCAAATAAAAACATAATTATTAAAATTTTGAACGACCTTACCATAAAGATATGTACGTCTTCCTAGAAATTGTCCAAGTTCATTATAATCTTTAAATTGGAATTTTTGTCTCGGGATTACCTCATCATCATCTTGTAGAACCTTAATTTCAGTCTGTCTAAAGAAGCATATAAAGTAATTGTTTTGAGTTGCTCGATAATCACCATACGCAGTTATCACTTTGAACTTAGAAAGAATATGAATCCTCCCTTCTTCTATCATTGGTCTGAACCTAGATATCTCAGTTGCTTTTATGTTTATTATAATCTTTAAATTGGAATTTTTGTCTCGGGATTTGCTCATCATCATCTTGTAGAACCTTAATTTCAGTCTGTCTAAAGAAGCATATAAAGTAATTGTTTTGAGTTGCTCGATAATCACCATACGCAGTTATCACTTTGAACTTAGAAAGAATATGAATCCTCCCTTCTTCTATCATTGGTCTGAACCTAGATATCTCAGTTGCTTTTATGTTCCCTTGAACATCATTATCCTGAAAAGAATAAATAAAGCAGATTAGTAATTATAAATTGATTTACAAATATAAAATATATAATCACATGTTATATGTATCTGACTTTAATTATAGAAGTCAAATAAAGTAAAGAATATGCAACTTACATTTTCATCTATCAATATTAGTTGTAATCCATATACTTGTTTAGATATTGGATTGATGTTCTCCCACAACCTGGTAACCCTCGCCTTGATTACTTGATCTTTAGTAGTAAGGTCCAAATCTTTTATAGAGGTATAGCTATTTATTGACATTGTCAATGATGATCAACTGCAAGATGAAAAGTTAAAAAAAATGTAAGTAAAAAGACAGAAGCTATAATACATAATACATTCACAGATGTATAAAATTCATACATTAAATTCATCAAAAAAGTATGTCAATGTCGGTGGAAAAAATTAATAGTTTCATGGTTGATAATAATAAAGTTGTGTAACATAGTGTTGAGATAATACCTGCAGTTAGATTGTTGAAAACCTCTTTGTACACAACATTCTCTGTTACATTGTTATCTATTCCATCTTCATTTTCAATGAGGATTTTAAGTCCCTGTGGTGAAGTAACTCGAGAAATTGCTACATATAATTGGCCATGTGTAAAACATGGTTTTGGAAGATACAATCCAACATGCTTTAAAGTTTGTCCTTGACTTTTATTAATGGTCATTGCAAAACATGTTCTCACCGGTAATTGTCTTCTTTTTATATGAAATTGCCACTTTGAATCAGTATTGGTCATATCTGTCCTGGATATAAAATGCTTTGTCCCAATATTACTTCCACTAATTATTCTAGCTTCTATTATCCATTTAAGAAGTTGTGTGATAACTAATCTCGTACCATTGCAAAGACCATCTGCCGGGCTAAGATTACGCAAAAGCATGATAGGAGTACCAACTTTAAGTTTAATTTCATGATTTGGCATCCCAGGAAATTTCTGTGAATTTAGAAATTCAGTTGGATATAATATTTCATTGCTTGCAAGATTTGGCGAGGTGGGACAAACTAATCTCGTACCATTGCAAAGACCATCTGCCGGGCTAAGATTACGCAAAAGCATGATAGGAGTACCAACTTTAAGTTTAATTTCATGATTTGGCATCCCAGGAAATTTCTGTGAATTTAGAAATTCAGTTGGATATAATATTTCATTGCTTGCAAGATTTGGCGAGGTGGGACTGTAAAACCCCAAAAAAAAAAAATTTTGAAAATATTATTATAAATGATAATAAATGAGTTTTATTATGATTGGTGATCATTCTAGGATGAATGGATCAGATTGGAATCGATTTGAGATCGATACACATGTTATCTCCATTTCCAATATCAAGTACCCACTTACTAAAGTCAGAGGTAGACATTGTAGTACTTTCATTCACTTGTGTTTGCAATCTCATATTCTTAGTAAGTGTTAAAACTTTACAGTCCCTCCATAAATATGAACAACTGATAGAAGCATGTAAGATATCATGTTTAGATCCTTTTGGAATAACCGGAAGTATTTGTCTGAAGTCGCCCCCAAGCACAAATGTCTTTCCACCGAAAGGTTTGTTTACATTTTCAGAACATTCTGCTCCTAATATATCTTTGAATGTTCTATCGACAGCTTCAAAAGCATGTTTGTGGACCATT